CCGAATTACTCAAAATTTCTGCTACCGGTTCTCCAGAACCTGCTGGATTTCACTCCTGATATGCATACAAGATCCCTGTGGGATCTTGTATGTGGCCAGCATGGTGGCTATCAGGGAGGATATATTTGTCTCATCCCCTTCAAGGACAATAAAAGGTGCTTCTGCCTTCCACAGCTTTATTTATTGCCTCCAGAAGTTGTGAATGCCCCAACACTGGAAGTTTTTAAGAAGATGTTGGATAGCCATTTGTCTGAAACGGTATAGGGTTTCCTGCCTAGGGAGGGGGTTGGACTAGAAGACCTCCAATGTCCCTTCCAACTCTGCTATTGTATTTATGGTAAAGTTACATTTATAGGATACACATGGGCAATCATAGCCAATTGATTTCTCCTAAACTACCTTCCTAAACATTTATATCAGCCTTTCCCAGACAGATTTACTCTAGGTATGGTGAACCACAAATCATTCAGAATTCTTCCATTGGAATGATCACTGGATAATCGGGAGCATGTATGAAAGGCATTCAGCTGGGAAAACTACAACATAATTCTAGAACCGAAGAACTACTGGATTGAAGTAAGGCATGATCTCATGCCAAATGCATAAAAATCTATCCCAGTCATTCCAATTTTTGAAATATTTGCGATTAGAGCTAATCCTCGTTTAGTGACCACAATTGGGACCACCAACTCTGTCTTGGTGGTACAGTTTCTATGTGAAGCATCATGTGACTGCAGCAGCCTATCATTTTACATCCATTGCAGTCATTAAGCAAGTCACTGTGGATCATTAGGTGAGACATCATGTGACCATGACTGGAGATTTTCCTGCCAGCTTCTCCATTGAGTCTGCTTCTCAGAAGCTAGTTGCAGAGCATGCAAATGAAGTTCATGTGATCGCAGGATACAGTGGCAGTTGTAAATGCAATAACTGGTTCTGAAGTTACTTTTTCAGCGCCATTGTAACTAAACAGAGTAATCGCTAAGTAAGGTCTACCTGTATATGGCTAGGACAGTGTTTCTCAACCTTGGTGACTTTAAGTCCTGTGGACTTCAACTCCTGGGGGATTCTGGGAGTTGAAGTCCACAGGACTTAAAGTCACCAAGGTTGAGAAACACTGGGCTAGGAGATATAGGATAAAAAGTGCATGACAGCAAATCCATTTTCCTTTACTTCCCCCCCCCCCATATTTTAACCATAGAACATGCTTAGTCAAATCTTTGCTTTTATTTTTCTCCAGAGAGAGTTCTATTATGTTTAGGTTTAACTTAATGAATCAAGGCGGAGAGATATTTGTGCTGGCATACACATGCAGATATACTGAACTAATTTCCCCCACTCCTCTGGTTGAGACACAACAAAACCTTGCGATAATAAAAAAAAAATACGAAGGTTCAACAGACATAAATTATTTAACCTACACAAAAATCAATTCTTACTGATCCATTTATGCAAGGAACATCGTCATAATGAAGTGCCATCCCACTGGGACACGCATAGCCATTAGCAGCATTTCCTCTGTAAGGATTAGTAGAAAGAACTCGTCTGTTCATAAAACTGAAATACAAAAACAAGCAGGACAAATAATAAGTTCACTTTGAGAGTACATGTCTTTTCATAAAGTAAACACGCTTTTCCATAAATTGTTTTACAGGTCTCTTAAGGGATTTCTTGTAGAATACATGCTGAATGGCACTACAGCCTGAAGTTATGAGAAAGCTTCAATTTTTACTTACTTGTGTGTGGGGAAGGGCATAACTTGTTAAATCAAAATACAGACAATTGATTTAAAGGGCAAAGCTGAAGATTTGCTGAAGACTCAATAGAAAAACTTCTCAGGATGGAACCTACAGTTATGGAAATGAATCTGTGCCTTCAAGTGCTATCAGGAAATGACTTTAGGTTTTCTAATCACAATGTACAACGGCAAAAGAGAGACAAACTACACAGAATAGGAGATGGGACAATTACAGTAATAAAGCACAGTAATGCCCAGAATCTCTTTGATTTTACATAAGCAATCTTATCCTGGAGCCAAGAGCTTTGTGTGATTAGACTGAGACAGCATAAAAGTCAGGCGTTAGCTTTTTTGCTGAGAAGAAAAGGAGATATATAGCTTGAATTTGGCAAAAGAAAACAGAGAAGTCTGGCAGAGGAGACTTTAAACGTTTTCCTTATTCTTGGGGGATTTTGTAATGTTTTAGGGCTGACATTGCCTGTTTCTATCTGTGCTAAGAATGATAAACAAGTTTAAATCGCCGTGTGTTTTCTTTTAGGAAGATTGCCTTTCCTCAGTATCCATATTTTAAATTTTCATTTAGTGCTGCCTTGGGCAAATCACATTGTTCAAAAAATATTAAAATCACTAGTTGAATACAATAAATAACTATTATGAACTATTATTAAGTTCTTTGTAAAAGATTGAAAACTAAACTTTCAAAGCATTATATTTTGAAGGCACATTTCCAACATGTTATTTTGGCACCGATAACTGTTGTGGCCCAGCAGGAGCCGTTGGAGCTGCCACCAGACTCCGACAGCGAGGGGCCCTATGAGTTGGCCCTGGAAGATGTGGCGGACCCTGGACAGGGTTCCGACTCTGAGCAGGGTGCAGAGAGACTGGTTGGCCACCAGGTGTTGCCTGAGCCTTGGACCAGTGGGGAGGAGACAAGGGAGAGTGATCCAGAAGCCAGCAGTGAGTTGTTCCTGGATGCACGCCATCGAAGAGCTACTAGGCTTCAGGAACAATTATGCAATTACTGGAGGTAATTATGCTCAGCTGGTGGTCATTAGGCTCCTCTCCAGACTATAAAAAAGACTCTTTGTGCCATGCCCTTCTTGCAGAAGTCAACGCTTTGACTAAAGAGAAACTAACTTGGCAGGCTGGATTGCTGCCAAGGTTTATCTGAATTGCTGCCAAGGTTTGTTGGACTTGCTGCCAAGGTCCTTATCTGTTTGTTTACTTGGCTTTCAGCCACCGAGATTCTGGTCTTGCTATTAAAGGACATTCTCATTAAGCGCGTCTCGGCTTTTGTTACTGGATGGAGGAGGGGGTCAGAACAGATAACCAAATCCAATTATTTATATAGCACAATCCTAAGAGAAATTAAAGATTTGTTTTTGTATCTAGTTTTTAGTTTTCCTGAGTTATTAAATACAACAGTGCATTTTATTATATTGTATACCATTATATTTTTTGAAAAACTACTACTGAAAGATTATTACCTTCTGTAGTTTTCAACACAATCTCTCTTAACAAACTGGGAAAACACAATGGGAATTTAAATGGGCCATAAGTTATTGGAGGGTTTCAGCCTTGGAACAATTGATTTAGACAAACTCATTATAAAGTTCAAGGGCTGATTAGGGAAATAACACCCTGGGAGTTAGTTTTATGGAAAAGTTCCATCTGTAGTAAAAAAAGAAATCACCATTATCATATTTCATCTGCCACTAGAAAGAAAGATGGCATCAGATATATAAATCAAGAAGCACCCTTGATCACAGAATCTTAAATTCTCCATGTCCTCTACATATGTTAATATCAGCCCTTGTTGCAATTGATTCCTTTCTCTGGTTGCAGCATAACTACAGATAGTCATTGAGTTATAACCACTCATCCAGCAACTGTTCATACTTGCAATAGCACTAAACAAGTGATAGTTGCTACTAGCCCTTGGAATTCCAGCCATCAGTGTTCCTATGGTCATGGGATTGTAATCTGAGCATTTAGCACCCAGCTCGCAATTTTGAAGTCACAGCGAACTGCAGTTACATGATCACAATTTCCAACATTCCCTGCCATTTTGCATAAGCAAAGTCAATGGAGAAGCCAGCAGGAAATCAGAAATTGCAGTCTTGTGAAATTCTCCCTTAATACCCCTTACATTCCTTGCTTCACAATGACAACCAATGGAACTGCCACTGCAAGGAGAGGCGGGGAGGCAAGGAAGGGAAACCATGGGAAATAGATTAGGATTCCAGTGGATATGCCATGCTGGGACTTGCTGTGGTGTGGCTGAGAGAGAGGGAACACGCTCCAGTCTTGTCCTTGTATAGATTTAGATTTTAGATTTAGATTTTACTTTATTTGTATGCTGCCCTTTTCCCTGGGGGGACTCAGGGCGGCTCACAATGTAAGGGAGGGGGAAGAACAGACAAGTTACAAACATGAAGACAATACACCATTAAAAACACAACAGTCATACCATTCGAGTGGGGTTGAGGTCTTTAGCCCCAGGCCTGTCGATCTTGTATTATCCAAACCACAAAAAAGTCAAAGCATTACAGGTTTCATTTTTGTAGAACTTGTGGTTGGTCCAGAGTGCCATGCTTTGCTGCAGGTTACAAACTAAACATCTTATCTATTTCCTACATTCCCATATTATTAAGATTAAGTTTTGAATCAACAAAAAACGAAGTAATTCTGACATCAGAGGCTTCCCTGTCTTCCCTTGGCTACTATTCTCTTTCCCTTTTTCCCTTCTTCCTCCACACCCTATTTTAAGTCACTTCTACCCAGATAAAAAGAACACCGTTTCAATCCAAGCACAGATCAAACCAGCAGAAATATGTATATGTAAAGAATCTTGTTCTCCAGATGTTGCTAGATTTTAAATTTGATTATCCCAACTATGATCATGAAGGAACTGATAAAAATACCCCACAGATTGATCACAGATTCCCTATTCAAGCATGTCTAGCAAAACTACTTAATTAGTTGCAAAATTATGTATTTGTAAGTAGAGGCATTTGTTGACATATTTTGCCTTTCAGCTTTGAGCAAGCATATCCATACTTGGGCACACTATACTATACAATATATGAAGCATATTGCATGGTACCTCCTCACCATCTCAGGTTTTTTGTTTAATAATACATAAGAATTCAGATTTCTCAACTCCAAAACAAAAGCACTGAAAAAGCCAGAGTTCTTGAAAATGCTCTTAACTGATTAAGTCCTCCTACCAGAATGTTTGCTTTGCAGCTTGAATGACACTGGCTGTCACATCCACATCTATGTAGTCATAGTGCAAAGTGCCGGGATCTGCAGAAGACCCATTCTCAGCCAGCAGAATCCCAATCCACCTGCCCATATCTTCTGAAGATGAAGCCTACACAAACGGAAGAGAAAAAACAGCTGAACACTGAAACATTCACTAACATATATCTATTTTAGTTCAAGTATACATTTATTTATATAGTGGAGGAGTTCTTGAATTTCATTTTTAAAACATTTCCATTATGGCTATCAAAAATCTTGCTAAAACAAACAACCCTACTCCTCAGGATGCCAACATAGCAAAGATCAGCTTTCAGCAGTTCCTATGTGGGGGCAGAATGACAAAAGTGGCATTGTGACATGTTTCACATGGAACTTTGTAGCACGACACCACAAGATTGCTTTTAGCATTCTGATGAAAACAGAAGTTCCAGAAGTGGGGAAAAAAAGCCCATTCCAGATTTCCTTTTGTAGTGTCCAAAGATATCCCCCCCCCCATTCCCACCTTCATTCTAGAGCCCAACATTTGGGCTCTCTCTCAGGTCATTAAGAGATAACATGAATACCTTAGGTTTTGATGCTTAAAATACTTTTTCCTCCTTCCAAAAGAACTCTGTCCAGACACCCTTAATGCATTATGCCAAACCTAGAGTGATCCTTAAGGAGACATAAATTCTGCACCCCTGCCTGAGATACATGGCACTTCCAAATCTGCCCTAAGGACATGGGCAGGATCATGCTGGCTACAGTAGAGGCTTGCTCCTTCCAGACATGGACTCTATTCCCAGTTGGCTAAAGCCTTTATCATACATTCCAAATGTCTCTTTTCTATAGACTTCAATGTGGGTAAATTAAGTGTAAGGGAGAGGGAGGGAAGGAGGGAGAGGGAGAGAGTGAATATGACTGAATTAAGAATGAATATTCACTGGAACCGGTCTGTGCCCTGATATTGATATTCAGTTCAACAGCATTGTTTACTGCAGTGGTTCCCAAACTTTTTCAGTCCACCACCCCCTTGGTGCTACAAACTGATCCTCAGTGCCCCCCACCCAGTGGTTGAATTCAATTTTTTTACTACCGGTTCTGTGGGNAGTTCTAACAACCCTTTTTAGATATAGGGACACTCCACCCTATATCTGAGCATTTAATTTAATTTTGCAATTTTCTTAATTAAATTAGAGCTCTCTTCTTCAGTGGTATGGACTCGTTTTGAGTACTTCCTCTCTAATAACACTTGTTTGAGCCCTTTTTCATGTGCATAAATTAACCAAATGGCTTTAACTAATCACTCAACAATTTTAGTGCCCATGATTATGTTAAAGTTAATTTTCCCCAAGCCAGCCATCATTGATTTACCAGCTGTTGCTGTTGTTTCTTCAGGTACTTTAAATAAAAACAGACACTCTTGGTTGCCAGTAGATATGATGAAGGGAAGTGAATCAACATTCTAGCTCATTCATTAATCATATTTTTCTGGAGCAATACCTCTCTGAGTCTGATGGACACTGACAACATGCAGAGGAAAGCAATCCAATGGAATTGCTTTTCATTTTGTTTCTTCTCCCCCCACCCCTAGTAATTCTGATTATCCTGCTGGGTAGACTGGCTGTTCAGAGACTGGGAAGGTCATTAATATTCCTTCACCACTATTGAAAAAGCTATATTAAACCAGCGGTGACTAAAGAAATTGTGTAATTATGAAGTGGAACATGCTCTGTTGCACCACTAAAGTTAATGAAAAACAAAAGATGATTTTTGTGTGTGTGTGTATAGTGTGTGTGTGCAAGTGCGTGCGTGTGTGGAGAGAGGGAGAAATAGAATGAATATAGAAAGTGATTTCCTTTTCATCTAGCTATATCTGTCTTAAGGATACAGAATTGGTTAGGATATTGAACAAGATTTTCAAGATTATCAAACAGCTGATCTTGGTTTCTCGTTTCTGGATTTATTCTGCTCAACTTTAGTTCTTTAGATGTTTTGATTTTGAAATTTGCCATTATACTTTTTATACATTTATTGGATATAATAAATTAATGTTTATAACTGGTTGGCTATTTATCTCTGGTTTGGGCCCGGTTTCTCTACACTTTCTGCCCTCCCACACTTAAATTCATAATTTCAGCGGCTCTCAATTTATGGGATGAGATTTCTATTTGAGAAGTGCAGGTATGTTGCAGAAACGTTATCCCAAATATCTGTGTACATTCCCAATCATCCAGGTCATGGTTGTCCCAGAGGTGCTCTTCCAAAAGACAACTGGACTTTCTTTGGGTTTTTTTTTTCCTTGAAAATGTTTGCTTCTCATCCAAGAAGTTTCTTCAGTTCTGAAGAAGTGAATCAAATGAACTGAAGATGTTTCTAGAGTGAGAAGCAAAACATTTTCAAGGAAAACACAAACAGAAAAGTCCAATTATCTTTTGGGTGAGCATCTTTGGATCAACCCCAAATAATGTACATAGATGCACTGCCTTTGAGATATGCTACAGTCACAGATTAAAGTACAAGAATTCATTCACTAGTAAATTAAGGACTCATAAAACATCAGGCAATTGTTGTAATCAAAATGATGAAAATGTATGTCTCCCGGTTACAACTATGTAGGCATTGGAGAAGCAAACAAAAGTTGCAGCTGACCATCTCAGAGAGAGCAGCATGATCTTTGAATGGATATTTGCTTTGCTTCCGTTGAACAACTGGAAAGGAGCCCCAATATTGCCAGACTGAAGATGGAAGTCTAGCTAAGTAAAAACAGCTGGATGACAGATTAAATAGATGGAAAACCAAAGCTTTGNCCCTGGCCACACACCCCCTGCCCCCCCCCAAGATCAAACACAACCCTGATGTGGCCCTCAATATAATCAAGTTTGACAACCCTGTTCTAGACATTTTTTTGTTTTAAATAATATCAGTTGAAAGCGACCCTCCTTCTCCCCGCCCCAATATCTAGCCATTTTATATAGTACTTCAAGAGATCTGAATCATTAGAATTGCTGTGGGATTACTGGGGAAGAGAACAGTGTTTAGATAAATTAATATTTTTCCTTATACACATACCTGCAAAAACAACACATTCATTTAAATCATTGCAAAGTATGTAACAAAATTGCATGTTTAAAGTAAAGACATAAAATATTTATACATGGCAATTGCATCTATTCATATCTACCACGTTGCAATTAACTCCAATTAATAATACTCATTACTGTTCATCAAAACTGTGAGTCTGGGTTTAAAAATAGAGATATCTGTAGAATCCCACTTTGGAATGGAACATTATTTTTAAACTGTCTATTTTTATTCTTATAAGGTAAGCACAATTTAAACCAATGTAAAAGCTATACTGACTTTGCTACAGGTTCACTGAATATTAACTTTTGCTAGCATATGTCTAATTAAAAAAAAACAAAGGAAAGAAGATTCCTGTAAAAAAAAAAGTGAAGATATCAGCCTGGGGCGAAGTAGATTCATTCATGATCCTGGTTTTGCGTCTTGTTGAGGACATATGATATTATCTGAAAAAAATGGCAGTGTTTTTCCTGTGTTTTGTTCAGAAGAAAATAATAGTTTCAAGGGAGATTGATTGCAGTCTCATCCCCAGGGATATTTGCCAGAGCATCTGTTAGGTTACATCTACTGATTTCTACCAAAATTATCCCCTCTCAAATTGGGATTATAAACTTGGTCCTACAATACAGCGATATTCCTTCACTTTACATTCTGTCCCTAGCTAGTCTTTCAAGTCTTCCATCAGAGTACTCATTATGACTGTAACCGAGTCCATCCCCCTTTGCTGCTAGTCATCCTCTTCTTCTCTTCCACCTTTCTTAGCCTTAGAGTCATTTCAGAGCAGTGGTGAGTTGCAGGCGGTACGCCCCGGTACGGGCGTACCGGAGCCTGCTCGGAGCACTGGGTACCGTTCTGGTACGGTGCTCTGGAGGGCCCACCCTTCCCGAGCTCCTTACCTGTCTTTTAAGCCTTTGGTGCTTCCGCGCACCTGCATGGCGCGTACAGCGCATGCGCAACACTCCGCCAAGCAGCTGGAGCATCACAGAGGCTTGCGTAGGTGTCGCAGGCAGATATGATGCATGTCTGCACTGTGTGCATCCATGTGGGCAACGCCGGGCCCGTTTCAACTGTACTGGTTGGAACAGGATCCGGAACCCACCATTGCTTCAGAGAGTTAGGACTTCACATAGCGTGTCTGAAGTGACAATTGACAAGTGACAGTGACACTTGGTTGAATTGTTCAAGTAATCCATTAGCTTGCTTTCTTGGCTACCCATGGAATTCCCACGAGTCTTCTACAACATTAAGATGCAGCAATGTTTTTATTTTGCTTCTTCAAATCCAACTTTTACATTTTTTGCATTTACTAAACTTTGTAGCTGTAGACACATCATAGTATTCAAGTATCTTTTTCAAAATTCTCCTGGATATCCCATAAACTGTTCATCTGCAAGATACTGCCTCTTAATTGCTGATAGTTATTCCTACAGTTCAACCCTGAGCTACATATATTCTTTTCTATGAAAATTGTAATCAAAGAATTACTGGGGAGAAAACCACATTCTCACCAAAATAGCAGGACAAGCTCCTGTATATAAACAGGGAGCAACCCAGAGGTGGGTTGCTCCCGGTTCGGCCCGGATCAGGCGAACCAGTAGTAGCAGTGGTGGAAGGCTCCATCCACCCACCCGTATGCTTCTGTGCATGTGTACGCACATGAGCGAACCGGTAGGAAAAAAGTTAGAAACCCACCACTGGAGAAAAACCCACCCCCACTACTCACTAGCACTGGTAAAATTACTTAGTTGGATAATAAAATATCTGAAAACAGACATGCAAGCTCAGAGAGCACCAAGACTGCACAAACTTTTATAGGTCTATCACATTCAAGGAAAAACTCTGGATTTTCTCTTGGACATATATCTGGCACCACCAGCTACAATCTCCAGAGATGGGATTTAGTTTGCAGAGCAAATGAGATTCCTAAGTACCCTGAGGCATTGGGGTTTTATGTACTCAAGCACTAGCTGAAAATGTTTTCTTCTAAGTTTATCAGCTCCATCCCAATAAAATAGTTGAGTCATAGAAAATCGGAGATGAGAAAAATGATCATTAAGTTGCCCGACTCTACCCCGAATAAGGACTACAGGGTCATTTATCTTTATGCTA